AACAGAGCCTAGTTTTAGCAATCTCAATCAGTTAACTTCATTCTATGAAATGCTTACAAATAGTTTTCTAGGAAAAATATAAAACCATGGAACACACTTTTTAAGCATCTTTGTAGAAATATTAAAAATAAGTATACAACAAGGATGAACATAAACCAATTTTCTACAATCAATATCTTCATATTAGCCATGACAATGAAAAACAAGGGAAATCCCAATAAATCAACAAAAGCAGACCGACAATCTGTATAATCGTGTTTATACTACTGAATATGCAAAACAATTTGTTTAATCCAAACACTCACTTTTTATACTCCCAATCTTTTTTTAATACTCCGTACAGTGATTTTAGTTGTTGACTAAAATACCCAATGATGTATTTGTTTCAATCGTAGAATCCAAAAAAATATTTTACTACCCAAAACAGAGTATATACTAGCACGAAGTTGGAATTTTACCCAAATTTATCAAGTTTGAGTCCAAATACAAATTTACTAAATAAAAAAACGAATCAATGAACAAATGGTCTAAATAGAGATCGATGAAGAGAAGGTTGAAGAATTCCTTCAAATTCTTATGAAGAAGAGAGAAAATTAGAGAATCATGGTGTTGAAGAAGATGAAAGGCTTGGGAGTTGGAACGCACAGGGTTAGGCGCAAGGAACGGAATTGTTTTGAAAAGCTCTTTTGGTTCAACGCTTCCTTACCTAGCATCTCAAAAAAGGCATAGACTTCTCATAAAAGTTGTTTGACCAAACACACAACTAGACTCTTTTAAGATCTTTTTAAATAATAGAGAAGTCAGAAGCTACCAACTTTTGTGTGCCAAACATGCTCTTCATCTACGTAGTACGGACTACGGAGTATATTATTATTCATTATATTTATTAGGAGTATTTATTTATTCATTCAAAATGAAGTTCCGTGTTGCCCTCATTTGTATTTAGGACCTCAATTGTATGGTTTGATTTTCTCATAGATGACAACTCCGGTACCCTTCTAAAAAATGAGGTACCGTACCTACCATTCATTTGATTGTACCACATCACTTAATTATTTTTAATTTAGATTTAAATAATTCAACTGCTACATTTTCATTGGTCCATGTGGATAAATGTATGGTACCTTATGGGTACCATATAATCTACCTTTCTCATATTCCTTCTATAGTTTCCAGCTTCAAGAGCCAAGCCGTTCGACTCGCCAAGCCGTTCGTGAGTCGCTCCTTCAATGCTCAACTCAAATTCGATCATATTCGAATTCGAGCCGAACTCAAGCCAGATCAGTAAGTTGTTGAGCCATATTCGAACACCATTAATAGTACTAGTACAACACCCGTGCGTTGCACGGTTGGTGAAATTTGACGTGGAATTAACTAATTAAATTTGAAAAAAACTTGTAATTTTATTTACATCTGATAGAGTTGTATTTTTATCATGTATTATTTCTATTTTAACTAGTTTTATTTGTTGTTGTTTGGAAAATTACACACTTTTGGTGTAATTAGTTAATTTTCTTAGATAGATGTAATTTGTTTAGATTAGGATTATTCTGAGCTTAAAACAGGTCAAGATCATCCAAAGGATCAAGTTTGGACCCCAAAAGATCAAGGAAAGTGCAAGGGGACAAGATCAAAAGAAGATTGAAAAAATATTTCATATACCCGGTCGGGTATAGGCAATACCCGATCGGGTATTGAGTTGATTCGGGTGTCAAAATCAGAATCTGGAGAGATTTGGAGAGACAAAAAAACGTGCAGGATTTTGAAGATTTGGCTCATACCCGGGAAACTGCCTAAAATACCCGATCGAGTACCCTATATACCCGGTCGGGTACACCACCCTGCTACCTCCAAACACCGATAAATACACCCCTTTTCCTTCACAATAAGATCACTCCTTCTTCCATACTCTTAAGCTCAGTTTAGAATAGTATTTCTTTTATATTTTTATAGCATGTTTAGTCTCCAAATGAGGAGCTAAACTTCCATTTCTTGGTGTTGCTCTTGAAGCTTGTTGATTATTAAAGTTGTGAGTTATTTTCTTAACTTCTTTCCTTGAATATTAATGCTTCTCTTAAAAACTATTTCTATATCAATGTTGGGGAGTGTTGCTAAGATGACAATTAGTTAACGTCTTGATATTGGTCTTAGTAATAGCTATTACTTCCTCTATGTTAATATTGGGGAGTGTTACTAAGATGACAATTAGTTAACATCTTGATATTAACTATAGTAGGATTCATTTTCCTTAATATTCTTCCTTGAGTATTAATTAATTCCTATTCATATTTCATATTAATATTTTTGAACATTACTTAAAGGATCAACTAGTTTTGTTTCAAATATTAATTATTACTAGAAACGATCAACGAACCGATGGTTAATCGTTGATGGTTTCACAAGTAAGTAACTTCGGTTGATTAATGCACGGTCGTGGTTAGTAAACTTAAGAGGGATTAATTTTGTTGGTTAAACTGAAACCGTTGTGTTGAGGTTATCAATCTCAATTGATTTCATCAAGGAGTTAAGAGATTAAATGCTACTATCAAGTAGGTATATGGCGTTGTTCTATACTTGACTAATAGTAAGGGTTATTAATGAACGGTCGTTGTTAATAACTTTCCTCGATGAATTGGATATACTCCTCGATTGAGTATTCGAGAGGAGATAAGTTATAGATATAACAATGATCGACTGAAATATATCAACAAGTGGAAAGTAGCAATGCCAAGTCCTTTTTATCTTTGAATTAAATCACATATAACTCGTTCATCTTCGTGTTTAATTTAATTAAATCATTCAACCCAAAAACCCCCTTTATTTACTCCTTTCGTTAAAAAGATAAATTATTCCTTTCCCTGTGGATACGAACTCTACTTCACCTATACTACGTATAAGTGTTAGTATTGAATTTATTTTGAGTGCACTCACGACAAAGTGCACGTCAACATCGTTAAGAATATACTTCATACAATAATAAAATTAACCAATGATTACTCTTCACACAACCACATAATAGCTTTGTTTGGATATTATCGTGTGGAGCAAAAATGTTATGCTTTTTACACTACAAATGGTGATAATTGCAAAACTGGGCTGAAAATGGCAGTTAACAAACAACCTGAAAGTTGACCATGACTAAAAACATGAGTTTTCAACAATAAACCAACATGCAATAAGATTGTTTTTTACTTTTATTTATAGTCATGACATGATAAGTCATGTTTGAGTATTATTACATCCAAAATACATAGTACATTGGAATGGCAAGCTAATATGTAGAGGTGTTCATGAATGCTTGAAAAATTAACACATTTTGTCTCACACTAACCCTTGTTAAATTCCTTTATTCAAGTAAAATTTTAGCAAATAATTTTTCCACATTCAAAGGTTTACAAATTTTAGTTACGATGAGGGAAAATTATTTATAATGTTCAAGTAATAGGGTGGCTTTACATCTATACGAATTGCATTAGTTAGACGAATTGCTTTTGTAAACTGGCAAATCAGAGGGTGTGCAAATATGTGAAAATATGTTATGTCATTCTTAAACTCTGCTTAAATATAAATTTATGCAAAAATATTCTAATAGGTCATCCACTATTGTAGAGGACAAATAATTTAGGTATTTATATATGCATATAATCCTTTTGAAATAATTACATAATCTTGAGATTCTTGATGACTAAAATAAAGATTATATACAAAAATATGATCTCTTAAGTATAGTGACTACGATAGTAACTTTAGTCATACAACTTATGTTTAATTGTCACATCCAGGGCCGGTCCTGATATAGGAGCAAGATAGGCAGCTGCCCAGGGCCCATCAGAAAGAGGGGCTTATAACTTATTTAGTAGTAATATATGTATATTGAGTCTCGTTCACCTCAAGCGCGCTTGATGGGGAGTTCTGTACAGCCAAGTCTATTCGTGGTGCTCCCAAATGAAATTGTTTAATTAAAGTTTGTGAGCATCGTTTTCATTAAGTGTGGATTACGTCCATAAAATTTCAGCTTAAAATTCAATCAGGAAGATTGTTAAATAAATTATTGAACAACAGTGCGCTTTATATATGTTTAAAAGTGCAGTGTTTTTCAACAATTTATTTAACTAACTTCCCGATTGAATTTGAAACCGAATTTTCGTATAAATATTCTAATTTTTATGAAGAACATTCTCACAAAATTTTATCAATAAATTCGACCTGAAATCCCTTCAAAAGGACTTGTCAGTACGGGACATCTTGTCGGCCGCTACTGACCAAATCATTTCCCTACACTCTAATTCTTCAGAAGAGATATCATTCAACCCTCATATCCGCAGACTTAACCACAACGGCAAAGCATCTCATGAAGCACTACCAGATAACATTCTATCTTCCTCACTGAAGTCGAGAATTAAAAATTGAGTGTTATTGACAATTTTGATTCTAAGAATGCCAAAAATTGTTTCGTATGACTTATGATATCGAGTAGTTCTATGGACAAAACATTTACTTGTGTAGCAAATTTTATTTTTAACAAAGAAACTTTTGTAATACATTCTTACACCATATATAATTAGGGGCCTATTTTTTGTCTTTTGTGTCGAGCCCATAAATTGTCAGGATCGGTCCTGGTGCAATTATTTGTAAGTATTTTATTATTATTGGTGTATTGATCAACATTGGTCCTCCGTAATCCGTATTATTTAAAGTTAATGTCCTTAACTATAAGTCTCAATCACTACAGAGATTTTTTAAACAAATAAAAGTAACACATTTGTGAGTGTTTTGTCACTGTGTGTATATTGTAACCATATATTAAAACGGGATAGGAATGAGTAGCCCATCAAATATGAGTAAAGCCCAGGAAACACAACCTCTTTTATTAAGGGAAATTCTATTGACAGCCCATTTTTACTAAATACAATCACATATTTTTCATTGTTCCTACTATGACCTTATTATTAATACCCAACTTAATACAGCCTCCGGTAGGCAAATCACCGATTAATTTTCACTGAGGAAGAAGACAAAGAAGTGAGAAGGAAAACCCCAGAAATTCTGAAACAGAACACTAGAACAATCGGCTACTCAAAATCCCAGAACAGTCACCTAGCCTGTAGCTCAGCCTCTCTCCCCTTCGATCTGCGGCCCTTGCTTCTGGAGTTATGATTCTCGAATCCAGTCGCTTGCCTAGTTAGAGTTGCCTTCTCCCTTTGCAAGTCACCCACTCTCACTGGTATCAGTGAGTGAAGAAGGAAGAAATCGGTTGCAAGACTGGACTTAAGCAATCTGGGAACGCAGGTATTGCTAGGGAAGCAATCGGTTTCATTATTCCTTTTTTTGCTTTCTGAGAAAATAACCCGTGGAATTATAGACTATAGAGAATATGATGAAGCAACCATAGCAAATTATAGACTGCACAGACCTGTGGTGCTACTCCAGCCATCTGCCATTATTGAGCAGCCATGTTTGACCCATATAGCTCTATGCTCAGCTATCATGGTTTGCATGTTAGCAACTGATTTCTTCAAACATGTGACCCGCACTTCATGGTAGCTAGGGGGCTTCAGATTAGGACCATATTGTCCTATTGCCTCGATAGCACATTTAAAAGAATGGGACCGGGCAACATTGAAAGCAAGCCCATTCTCGTAAAAACAGTCTGATATATATTGTATAGCTATTGCTCTTCTTTCTTTATCCAACTTCTCATCGATCTTCAATTGCTTCAATCTTCCTTGCTTTCGCAGCTCCACTACTGTTTCTGGTTTCTTGTAGATAAAAGAGTCCATAGGACCTTTTACTTTTCCCTTCTTTGAAGATGCTTTGGTCTGCTGCACATGACAAGGTCTTTTTAGCTTACCTCTAGGATCTTTCTGCAGCTCCTCAGGTTCACTGTCATCATCCAGATCATAGACTGCATCAAAATCTGGATGTTCTGGTAGTTTGTCATAATTGATCTTACCATCCTTTTTTGATTGCATATATTCCCTAAGCATCTTTTTCACATCTTCTGGGCATTTCAAGCAAGCCGTCGCATTTCTATCCCCTCCTATTTGATGAAGCTTTGCCCGGTAAATCCCTCCATTAGTTACTTTTCCACAGTAAATGCAGGTAACACTATTACGATCTTTTTCATTAACCAAGAAGTTGTGTTTCCAAGCTGGATCATTTTTTGTAGACTTTTCACTTTCAGCACCACCCACAGAACTTGTTCCACCTTCCATATCCTAGAAAAGCACAAAGCAGTGAACATATATTAAAAAAATCACAAAGCAGAGAGTACTATGAATATTATATGCATGCTATTGATGTTAATATACAAAAAAATCACAACGCAGAATAATATATACAGTAAGTTTGAAGCACTGCTTTGCTGCATTCTTGCATTAGCAAAAAGTGTTTAACTTGATTGTTAAACACTTTGTGTTTTACTGTCAAACAGTTATTATATAAGTCTTATATATACAGTTATTACATTTTGAAGCAAAAGTGCTTATCCAGAATATAAGTCTATGAGTATTATATACATACTATTGATAGTAATATACAAAAAAAAAACAGAGTACTATGAGTATTATATACATGGTAATATACTAAAAGTCTAAAACAACACAAAGCAGAGTACCATGAATATTATATACAAAGTAATATACTAAAAAATCCCAAAGCAGGGTACTATGAGACTTTGAGTATTATATACGTACTAATATACTAAAAATTCACAAACCAGAGTACATATATTTAAGTACTGAGTATTACATTTAAGTACTGAGTATTACATACTAATATTACATATTTACACTAATAAACATTAACATACTGGAATATGATATTTGTATAAAGAGGACTACATGATAAAAAGAACATACCTTGTTTAGCTCCAGGGAGAGCTGAGTATGCTTCAGATGATGAAAGAAGCTGAAAGAACTGGCTGATGTAGAGCTTAGTGTCGAGTGAGGAAAGCCAGGAGAGTGAAGAGCGAGGATGGCGAGCGATGATAGCTGAAGTGTCTTGCGCCAGTTTTACCTTTTTACTCTTAGGTTCACGTAGTTTTAAGTGGGTTTACCCTGTTTTTTCATGGGCTGAGTGCTATTAAACATATGGGCTAATTGCTTTTCAAAGTTCTAAACATAAAAAAGGCAGTAAGCCTTTTCCGTCTCAGGCGACTAAAGCGTGCGCCTTATAGCGCTTCAGCGCTTCCTGCGCTTATGCGCTTTTACTGCGCTTGAGGGGGGAAGCTGCGCTTCTACGATTCTAAGGCGCTGGGGGTGATTCTCGCTGCGCCTTGTGCGCCTAGGCGCTGAAGCGCGCGCTTTTGACTACCTTGTATTAGTAATAAATCACCATCCAGTATGTGCCTGTAATTTTGTTATCACTTTGTATCATTCTCCAAAAATCAGTCAAATAAGAAAAGAAAGTGATTTCAATTCATAGCTTCCAAAAATATTTTTCACACCATCTCATTATCTTACTTGTTCTGTAGGATTTCCCACAACCATTCAAGGCCAACTATTTTGGACCCTTCCAAGTCCCTCCCTCATAAATCTTTGGCCGCAAGAACAGTCTACACATTTGTTTCTCTTCTCTAATGCAAATCTGCACACCCATCCCACACATTGAACTCCCATAGAGTTTTATAATAATCTATAAGCATTCTATTTTGTGCTAAAGGTAATAAACTATCAAACATATAATTTCATTACATTTGTGAGCTTAAAACCGAAGACTTGAGTTACGAAGAAATTGAATAACTTACCTAAAACTATTCTAGAGATGCAAATGACTTGTAAGAGCACTTCACACCCATAATAGGCTATTTATAACTTTTTTGGATGTTTAGTGTAGAAGGCCAATTGGTTTCCATTATGTATGAACACATGGGGGGAACAGTTGAATAGATCTCCAAAAGATTTCTTTTATAATTTTATATACTCCGTATTAAATTGTAGTGTAAAGGCTAATTATTTTTCTTTTGTTTATTTAGTACAGTACCTTACGTCAAATTAAATTGTAGAAATATGGAAGTTCGAGAGCCTACTTGACACTTTTCCCTTTTATTTTTTATATTATACGAATACATGAAGCAATTAAGCAATACGAGTATTTTTAATTTTTTGTTTTTTATTATTTATATTGGATATTGTCAGTAGAACTTAATCGGTAATTAGATATTTCAAATGAGCGTTATTTAGTTTTTTATTTATATATTTTATAGTATACAAATCACATTTTTAATATAGTCTACTTTTATTTATATTTTTGAATATGTGCATGACAGAGAATTAAAGTGAGCAGATAAGGTAGGAATTTAGTTTGACCCCAATTTACCTAGGCCTCCAACCCCCTGCCCCCCAAGTTAACCGGGGTTTTCCGGATTTTTACTATTTCCGAGTTTTGAACTAATCGAACCGGATTTTTGTCTCGTCGCCGGGTTCCGGATTGACCCGGTCGGGTTGGGCCGGTTTTTCAAAAATAGCTTTACAATTAAAATTATTGTGTAGCAATTCTTTTGGAATTATGTATTCTCCAATCTCCACCCACTAAATTTGTTTTAGCCACACAGTCGGAACTCCCTCTGCCAACTAAACTTGTGTTTTACCTTTTCCTCAGTCGGAATCCGTGGTTTCTACAACGGGATAAACGGCGGTTTTGTACTCTCTTTTATGAAGCTTTCAACCTTCTGGGATAAACGGCGGCTTTTCAATTTTATCTTAAAACAACGTGATTGTTTTTCGGGAAAAATCTGGGTGAACAAGACACGTTCCGCCCGAGTCTGAAGATGTGTCCATGAAACTTGCTGCTAGGTACACTCCAAAACACACCTCCTTTTTTTTTATTATACATAGAAATAGAAATGAGAGCATATTAATGTTGAAAGTAGTCGTTGTGGACTGGTATTAGAATCAGGGTATACTATACTATAATTACTATCCTTTCTTTCCTTGTGCTGCTGCTACGCTCGTCTTCATTCCCTTCTGCTGCCATTAGAATCAGGGTATATACTATAATTGCTATCGTTTTTAACCTTGTTTCTTTTTCTCTTGTTTACGGCGTTCATCAGCTTCATGTCAATAATAATACAACTATAGCACCGAATAAATGTGTCATTGTGTTCATTCCCTGTGTCTGCATTACCTACCTTCAAGATATGCTAAAGAACGAACTACTCCGTATATGGCATGTGTTTGTTCACAAACTGTTTGCCAAAATGTCCCACAAGCTTAATGATATGTTACTTGCTCTTACCACATTCAAAACCTGCCTTTCATTCTTAGGCTATTAAATGAAATAGAGTAGACTTTAGTCTTACAGAATAATGACCAATAGTAAATTGTTAAATTACAGAACAAAAAAGGTAATTTTTAGTCCTTTACGAAACTGACCATTACCATTATGAAACCATAACATCAATAGCTTTAAATATCTACTACGGTGTTTATCCCTTTCCTCTACTCATCAACTTTTAAAGATATTCCAGGTATATCAAAATTAAATGTGTTTTTCAGATTTTAACATTTGGCATTTGACTTACATATTTGGCATTTGATATACCCGGAAAATCTTTTTTATGTACTCCGCTGAGACTGGAGTATTAGTTATACATCTTTATGGGCTTCCTTCATCAAATGCTAAATGTATATCTTCATTCAAATGCTAAATGTAAATAGCTAATACCACCTTGATAAGAAACAATGACAAACATAAAAACAAATTACATCAATGTTTCATAGCCGATAATTACAACAAAAGCCTTAAATTACCAGTCAGTTGGTAAAATGTATGTGATGAGGCTATTTGCTTAAAAATATCAACTTATCATCTACATGATCAATTAACATTTTTAAATTACATGTTCAAACGCCCCTTGACTTCCACAAACTTAAAGTTTTATGTAAAAAAAGAACTTCAAACTAAGTTCTTCACTATACATCTTCCGCATACGATCTCAGCGGATTAAGCCAAATATAGTACTCTGTAGTATTAATGCATTTTACACTCATATCAATTTCACAAAATGCAGTGCGCTTTAAAATCTGAAAAACAAATTTGATATACCTGGAATAAAGGTTTAGTTATACATTTGTTGGGCTTCCTTCAAATGCTAAACGTGAAATTTTATTCAATGCTAAATGTAAATAGCTAATATCACCTTGGTAAGAAACAATGACAAACACCAAAACAAACTACTTCGACGCTTGATAGCCGCTAATTACAACAACATCCTGAAATCACCATAGTCTTTACTCTTTAGTAAGTAAGTTATTCCCGAGGAGCCTATTTACTTAAAAAAATATTTCAACTTATCATCTACATGGTCATTGTTAAATTACATGTCCATACTGTTTCCACGTTTGATAGCCGATAGTTACAACAACTATTTCTTACTGTACGTTTGCTAAGCTTCACTCAGCAAACTTTTAAAAAATTCAATACCCAATCGACTATAAGCCTTCTTAAATTTAGTCATCTAATTATACATCTTAAGTATGTCATTCACAACTGTATATTATCATCATAAGAAGCCAAAGTTTTTTCATCACAAATGAGCAGTATGTATATTACTAACCTAATGAATTAGCTTCATATCTACACTTCTCGTTAATCGTTATTCCTCACCATCCGTTTTGATTGGTAATCAATGCTTAAGGTTTGAGAATGAAGACCTATTTGCTAAAAGACCCTTACAATATAGAGGCTTGAGAATAAAGACCTATGTGCTAAAAGACCCTTGCAATATAGAGTTTTGATAATGAAGAACTATGATTCTAATGAAACATTAATATAATTTGATGGTTTAAATAATCATGAGGTTTCTTATTGATACGTATTGTGTGTGAAAGTTTTTTACACTAACATATTTTTAATTAAATTTCACATAATGTTGAGTTAGTAATGCTATACCTTATTTGGAAATTAATAATTCAATTCTTTTTCCGTTTGTTTTAAATGGTTATCATGTACAAGAAAATGTACAACCAATTTCACAGGAATTGATGAAAGCAAAAGTATTTACTTATATATCTATTTTAATTGAAGAGCCGATAAGGTACTTTACTAACGTCACCTGAAAGTCGACCTCAACTTCACAAGAGAAAATAAAAGCACTTATACATAAAGGATATAGCAGATGTATTCAGACTTGTTACAAGCAAAGCGCAGGCGAGCGTGTACGTACCTTTTACAAAGCAACCAGGGGGTGAGATGTGAGAAAGTGCCGCCTTTTCTGTTGCTTTTTTATTCCAAGCTTAAGCGCAAAACCAATGCTTTTGTATGCTTCTCACAAAAAGCGGGTGACTGGTTAATTAAGTTAGTTTTAGTTTTATTTATTTATTTTTAGCTAGGGTTGCATCTTGTGACTCTTTTTAGTTTAATCTCATAAAAGGCTTCTCCTCTTCTCCTAACCTTCTGGATTGCAAAGCGGTCTTCTGCTAAGCTTCTCGGTTGGTTTTCCGCTCCAGGTAGATTAGTAAATGAATTCTGAACTTCATCTTGCACTATGAAAATTCATAGTAATTTCAAATATTGATATGATCACATAATTACTATTGGTTAAAGGAAATGCTCACAAATTCAATTCTGCATGAATCTGAAACATAGTACTCCCTCTGTCCCTAATTGTTCTTCCATAGTACAAATGGTACACAGATTAAGAAAGTGGGCATTGTGTGGTGGAGAGTTGTGCAGAGGAGAGAGAAATGTGTAAGAAATGCTCTGAACCCCATATTCTTTACCAAAAAAGGAAAGTGGAAGTTTTATTAGGCTGGACGAAAAAGGAAAGTTGAAAGTTCTTTCAGGGACGAAAGGAGTATTTGACATTACAAAAATATGTAAATATTCTGCAGATTCCTTTTAGATCTTGGCATGTTCCCTGTTGGAATCTTAACCATTGCAATATGATTAGAATTCCAAGGGAGTACTTTCAAGGTTTAAAGTTCATATGTGTGTAAAAATCTTTACCAGTACACCGCTAGTTCGCTCTAACAATTTTTTGTCTGATTTTTATGTTCAGAGTTCCTCAATTACTGCATCGCTCTTTGTTCTTTTGGAAAGGGGACTGTTTGAAGATCACATTAGCTTCTCTTTGAGACATATCGTCAAACTCCCGTCTCCCGGTGTTCTGTAAAGACGATTGATAACTAGTCAAGATGGATGGTTAGTTATCAAATTCCTGGTGCTCTGCATTGAAGACTGCTTATTTCCCTTTTACAAGTTCATTTTTTTTTCGCAACTTTTTTAGTATTATCTTCCCAAATAATCTTCAAACTTCAGGAAATGTGCAGAGAAATTGTAATGCTACAAGGTTGGCACTTAACAAAAATAAACTTCGCTATCTTGCACTCAAATTCTTTTTTGCATAAAGGCATAAACCTTTTGGTTTTTCACACTTCTTCATTTCTTCGATGAATGTCCACTTTCAAGTAGTCCTCAGTTTGAGAAAAGGGAGAAACGATCCTTGGCTAATGGAGTTATATTTTACGGACGACATTATGCAATGAATATGTAGCCGTCTGGATTTTCATGGGTTTACACAACAATTTATTATGTTTTGCTCATATAGTTGATGCTGAGCCTACAATGGATGAAACTATTTTGATTGATGAAGATCTAATGGTGGGCCCACCATCACCAATCATTCCACCAGAGATAGCGTCTCATGTTCTTGAAGGCATTGATACTTGTGATGGGCTTTTAAGGAATCTTTTCCTATGTAAGAACTCCTCATCCGAAACTGTTTTCATCAGCATTGTTCACATAAGATTTGGCTCATTAACTCTTTTGTGATGTAGGCTTACAAGTCAATGATATTGAACCATTCTGTCAAGATGAGATTATCATGTATCAACAATGTGCAGAAAAAAGGGTGACAGCCATTTATTTTATTATTACCACTCCATATATTTGAGTTTGCTTTCAAATGATTGACACTAATTTTTTTGAAATCATAATTCTAGTTGTGTATCACTCCAAATATTTGAGTTGGTTTTTCAATTGACCGACACCAATTTCTTTGAAATCACAATTTTAGTTGTGAATCATATGACTCTACTAGTCACAGAATGATTCCGCAATACAACTTTGGTAATTGCTTTTTGAATAATTTAGTTTCTGTGTTTGTGGGTTGATTAAAAATTTCTGTAGTGCAGGACAAGGAGCTAAGACAACGACTTCAAGATAGTGAGCGTAAATTAGGGCTGTCAATGCCTCTAGAGAAAGCAAGAGAGCGAGCAATCCATCTAGAATCTGAAGCTACATCTCTGGAGAGGTACTTAAAGTTTAAAGTGGGTTGTGAACTTGTGAGTTATCAAGTTGTGTCCACTATATTGTTCTTAAGCAGATAAACTACAAATGTGGTACTTGATAAAAAAAAAAGAGCAGGGGCAAGCATCGCCTGAACTCCTGCCCGTTTTTAACTGGGTGTTTGTGGGTATGTGTTGTCTGTATGGGGAAAAGGAAAATGGATGATAGTGTATATATTTGGATGATGTAAAACTGTAAATTTAGGCAAGCATTTGAAATGTTTTCCCTGACACAATGTTGGTTTTTTGAAGCAATAAAATCTAGATCATACACCTCTGTGGTATTAAGGCAGTGTTTGCGTTTGCTTGTGCTTTTCCAAAGTGATTTTTTAAAGTGATTATTGGAAAAGTGATTTTTAGTAAAAGCAGATAGTGTTTGGAAATAGAAGTGATTTTATTTAAAGTGTAAAAGCTGGAGTGTTTGATAAAAAAGTGATTTATGAGGTAATATTTGGTGAAAATACTAAAATGTCCTTGCCTTTGTTGACCTAGTATTTATTTTTCATCCCATTTATCATCACTCCCTCTGATGGGAATGGCGTGCGGGTGGGTTGGTGTCTCCGGCCATTACAGCGGTGAAGCTGGGAGTGATAATCCAGACGGATTTGGTGGCGAGGGTGAAGCTCAAGTCGTGGAGAGTTACAATCTGGGAGTTTCCGCTTCACGTGGAGAGAAGCTTAATGGGAAGAGAGAGCTGTGAAAGGGAAGCAATCGAAGAACTGGGCATTTCTGCTGCACTTCTGGAATTTCCGGCGTTCCAAGAGATGGCACCGGCGATGCTTGGCGAGAGAGGGACGGAGAAGGCAACCGATTTTGAAGAAATGAGAGAAGTACGATCGAGGGGGTCAGGTTGGGTTTTGGGAAAAGGTTGAGGGATAAAACTATCCTACAATTTCCACTTATTTACGCGAGTACCTAAAAGCAGATAAAAGCAGATTCCAAGGTGCTTCCAGCTTTTGCATCACAATCACTTAAACAGAAGCTGTTTTTTTAATTTGCAAACACCTTTACTAGCTTTTTTAACCTCAAAAGCCCAAAAGTGATTCCTAGAATCAAACGCAAACACAGCCTAAGAGATTTAGATAAGAAAAGAAGTTTGGTCAGCAATCAGCATGTCATATTTCTAAGAGGTCATAGCTACCAACTACCAAGAATGAAATATATACTAGGGAGAAAACTTCATGTGCATATTTGATAGTGATTTTTTCTTGATCTTAGAAATAAATAATTGCTTTCCTGATCTAGACGCTTTATATTGGCAAGTGGAGTTGAGGGCATGGAAGGATTTCGACAAAGGTGGAGTCTCCACGGTCGCATGACTGATACCAAGTAAGCTATAACCGATTGTCTCATGAACATTTAACATATACTCCGTAGTAGAAAATTTGACAGTCCACCAATTCAGAACCATTAACCCGTATTGACATTGGAGCACTTCATACATTGGTGTCAGGACTAAGGTCATAAAAGCGGATTTATTTGATACATGATGTAAGACATATATTAGGGCATGTTGAAATTTAAGACATTTTCTTAAGGCTGGATTATGTATGTTCTACACAGGCATGCCATTTTGCTAGCGATGGGAATGGGTTTTGAAGGGGTTGTTTTAGATAAAAACCAATAATATTGGATATGCATGAATAATATGCCGCGTACATGTTTGATGAGCTATTTTTAGGGTGTGCGGTTAGTCCGTAATTAGATGGTGTGCTTGCCTCCTCCCACAGGAAAAGGCTAGAGTCTCTAAAGCAGGGTATAGAGAGTAGGAGAAAGGATGACAAGCCAACTGGAAATACCTTCACCAGCAAGAAGTGGTTCTTCTGGTGATTTGCGATGCACATATATAAAGATATTGGGCCATGCTATGGTATCTGTGAACCGATAGATATCTGAGACCAATTTTTATAGATACACAAACAGTAAGAATCAGGTCCGACACACCATGTGATACTCATGCTTAGCCCAAAGCATGTATTTAGGCTATCTTTCCCCCCAATTTCCAATCACCGCATATTCAGGTGCAAGGCAAGATATGTTACTGCTTCAAATTGTTCATCATTTATTTGACGATTTGCATTTATATTAAGCGATATGGATGTGAATGCAAACAATTGATTCTGATGTTATAAAAATGAATTTGGAGATGTTATCATGATGGCGAGCTTTCGATATTATTGTTTCATTCATGAATTTTGGTACTATATTTTGCAGCACTGCAGCCTATATTTTTCTAGTCAAGGCTAGCGTTTTACCGGTTAAATAGGTTATTAAGAGCCGGCCTTATAGTTTTTTTTTTAATATAAGAGAGTGCCTATTATAATAATAACAAGAACTCATACAAGACAACTTCTAGATAGTTATGACATAATTAGTCACATCATACAAAGCGACTTGATTCGCTAGACACAAAATATGCAATTTTAAGTCTAAAATAATCAGAACTAAAACATTGCCTATAAAAAATACTATAGAAATCTAGAAACCCAAACCAAACATACTCGAACTAAAAAAAATCAGTACTACTAAAGGAAAAATAAAAATTGAAATAAAACCTCACAAAACTTTTTTCGGCATGGAGTTGGTTCCAGAGGAGGACAAACTCTACAATTTCATATGCATCCCAAAAGAAGGCGGGCAGAAACCCTTTATCAAGCAAAGCAGGTTGGGACACCAAAATAACTCCCAACATTGAGGGACACAAATCGCCGGGAAAGAACCACCACAGAATAGAACACAACCAGAAAAGGAAAACAATCCAGATGAGTCATACCCTAACCTACGAAGAATCTTTGAGAGTTGATATTACATGGTCGTCTTCTCTTTTGTGGCCATCTGAACAACCACAAGTAGGCGTCTTACTGATGGCAAGAATTACGGTTGATTGCCTATGGGCACCTCATGGCTTCAACTTTAGGGGAAAAAAGGATGACATCTCATCCACGAGGGCCCCTCAACACCAACCGGACGGCACAATGAGAGAATGTAAATTGGTCTATAATCACAATTTGACAGATACAGAGTGGGGCTCCGTCCCCGGTTCTTGCAGAGGCCCTCTATTGAATGATCTCTCATCGCAGTTGCCGGGAGTTGAACTGGGGACCTAACCCTTGTGGCACTCTCTCGCTACCAGTTGAGCTACGCCCACTATTGGCTTTGACTTTAGGAGTTTTCAAGAAGAGAGCTAGTGAGTACGGCGTTAGATGCTTACCGAATATGAAGCACACTTTTCAATGATCTCTTTAAAAAACATTTTTTTAATGTTGAATTATCAGCCTTACAGATTTATGGAGTCGTAAAATAAAGTTCAGTCTTTAAATGAATAAATAAAACGGAAATGAAACCAAATTGAAGTGTCAACTTTTTTATTTTGCACTTAGGATGTTTTTACTTGGACATATTTAAGTTCCAAAGCAGAACAGACCAAACTTAGGGTCTGTTTGCAACAGCTTCTGCTTTTAAAAAAGTGCTTTTTTAAATGAAATGGGAAGAAGTGATTATATAAAAGTTGATAGTGTTTGAGAAAAAGTGATTTTGAAAAGTAAAAGTGGGTAGTGTTTGGTAAAATAAGTGCTTTTTGTGTAATAGAAAAAGTAAAAGCACTTTTGACGCGGAAGCCGAGAAAAATAAAAGTTGTAGTGTTTGGGAAAATAAGTGGTTTTTAAAAGCAAGAAGCTGAGAAGTGCTTTTTTAAAATCAGTTGCAAACCAACCCTTAAACAAATCAAATCAAACTTAACTATACCAAAATAAATTTCAACAGTTATAAAAAGAAAAAAAAAATAAAAACAAAAACAAATACCAAACATCTACCAAACCGGACCAATTCAGACAAGGTAAGAATTAAATAAATCAGAAAATTATTAGTCAAGAAAAGCACACGTGAAGGTAACAATATGATTAGAACATTAATCAATCGTGCAATGTAATAAGCATTATGTGACTCAAATACAATGTTTGGTATGACATTTTATTTTAAACCGTAATGTAATGTGCATTACGTATGTGGAACTCATTTCTTTGATATTAGTGGTGGACTCGGGCCGGGTGGCCCGACCCGGAACCGGCCCGGAACCGCACTGTTTGGCACCGGCCCGACCCGGTGGCCCGTGGCCCGGACAGGGACCGGTCCGGGTAGGCTCGGACCGGGTGTTTTCCGGTGCGGGCTCGGGTCACCCAATAGACGAACCGGTCCGGCTGGGCCCGGTTCCGGGCTTTTTTCATTTTTTTTTTCATTTTTTTTAAATTCCCGGGTTGGGCTGGGTATTTAGGGCCATTTGGGGTGGTTTGGGGGTCGGGGGTGAGGGGGGCTGGGGGGTCGGGGGTTAAATAGAAAAACGAAAAAAAATTAGAATCTGGCCCGAGGCCCGACCTGGCCCGGACCCGGGGTATACCCGGGCCGGTTCCGGGCCTACCTCAAACTCCTAAAGCCCGACCGTGCCTAGGCCCGGTCCGGGCCCGGCTCCATGCCTATTTGATATGTGTAATAAGCTTTACATTAGAAACGTTATGTATTTAAGATTACACTTGTATTTATTTTCGTGCGGCCAGCTACTCGCTCTCCCATAGTCCCATCAGATGAACTTTTCCCGTTCAAATCTACTTTTTTCTTTTTTCCCGGGTGTTCTGGCACTTTTAACCAAACATAGTAATGGAATATTGATTTCATTCCATTACATTACAATACCGTACTCATTTTACCTCAACTCAGCTAGTAATGTACTACGTTGTCAATTTCTCTCGTTGTAATTCATTATTTTCGTTATAGACACTACTTTAGAGGGCTTTACCAATTTATTATTTCCTCTCGTTGTAAAAATAAAACTTTTCTCATTATGATTATGAAAAATAAAAAAAAATCTTTCAGTATAGCCATAGTTTAATTTTTTTATTCTTTTATTATATCCATAATACCGTTAAAATAATATATTGTGGTTCCACAATATTGAAAAACTGAACCGCAAAATCTATAAAATGCTGGCAGTTCTGGTTCCTATAATTGCAGGCATGTCTACATCTCGCACAAGTTATGGTGGGAGAAGATTAACGCATATTCCATTTCCCACCACCTCAAACAACATTACAAGTTCATAACAATGGATAAATCACAGAGCAGTATGACCAATGCAAGAGAACCCAACCTCAGACAACACTAAATCTTGTTGTTTGTTAGTTGTTACATGTGGTTTGTAATAAGAATCTACAACAGAAAAAGGAGAGAAAAAACATATCTGGCCAACAAATGGGTCATCACAGAAAGTTTGCATCATTGTGCTCGGAGTCATAGATATCTAAGATGAGTAACGCTCTGGACTATGGACAGAAAAAGGTTCACGGAAAGGGAATGAGTGAGGGTAGCTCCAACAACATCATTTAAAGGATGTTTTTGTCAAATCCATTGGCCCCAAGTCCCTAACTAATGTGCAGCAAGTAATTCTTGCAAAAACAGAATTGGTAAGCACTAATAAAAGTACCCTATGCAGATGTTCCGGGAATGTCTTCGGAAGTTGAGCGAGGTTCCAGAGGCTGCCTTGCTACAACAGCAGGTTGAGGTGGCTTCTCTGCAGATGGGGTCCATGCTGGTCTGTTGGGGCGGATATTTTCAACTTCCTTTTGAGGGATATCAAACTGCAACCACCATAAATAAGACATGTAAATCAACCAGACACACAAACCGCATTATCTGGTGAAATAAGGACTAGAAATAAGGTTCTGGTAAGGACTACAAAAAACATGCAGCTTGCAAAGAGAGTTCCTAAACCTAGGAACATATAACATGAGAAAATGTTCAAAAATTGACTTTAATAGCTTGCAATGTCAAATACGGAGTATATTTTTTAGTCAATAGACAACTGGGTTTCCAAAAAAACGAAATTATGACAACTGGGAAAAATGGGTTTCACTTTTTTGTTGGCATTTTCCAAAATAACATAATTAGTATAACTACTATCCACTTAATCATACAAGTATACAACCAAGGTCATATAATTTTAAAACGTAAAGCAAAAACTAAAAGCGACTGATACCAAATGAGCCCTAAAGTAATTGAAGCATTGTGTCTAACAGTCTAACCAAAGTAGTGGTTATTGCAACGTGAGCCAAAGTATAACATTCAAGCATAGATAGTAGATAAATGAATATGATTTTTTTTCTACGGATAAATGAATATAATTGGTAGATCCAGAGGCATGTGCATATAAGAGCACAGGACCAAGACCGGAGTGTTACCAGCCATGCTAAACAGATTACAAGCAGAGCAAGAAAACAAACCAAGTCTGTCTCAAATACCAACAGGAAGAATGAATAATTACAAAACATAGTACCACATTTACATAGGTCGAAGCTAAATTACCTTGTATCCACAGCCAGCTACACAAGCGCGAAAGCATTCCTGTTTGAAAAAAGGAGGTATATGTTATTATCTATATAAGCAAAACTTTACTAGAGTCATGAATGATTTACCCATTTACCTCTTTAATAAAGCAGGTTGGGAACTCAATTTCAATGGGATTGCTACTCCAATGCCATTCACAAAACAAGCCCCATGAATATAATCCAATGTTTTTTTGGTATTCTATCAGCTTATAATCTCATGTGATCTTAAATAATGGTAAGCCTAAGAATTAAGTAAATACAAGTGTTTCATACGGAGTACTAAATTTAGTTACATTTTCAGAATTTCAGAAGGCATAGGTCATCATTGTTAAGCTTCGCTAACATCGGTTGTGGGTGCATTGCAGCTGTACAAGTAAGCGACCCCCTTAGGGATCATTTGGATGGAAGGTTTCTGAGATGAAAGGCCTTGAAGGCTTAGTTTATATCCTTCACAAATAGAATGTTTCTGAAAACAAATAAAGGGTGATCGGAAGGTACATGACCACCTATTTCCATTTTTTTTTAAAAACTGATTTATATATGTATATGTGTGTGTGTGTGTGTGTGTGTATATATATATAACCAAGCATTCCAGCCCAGCTGGTTGTGAAGTTACCGTGCCTAGTGAGAGGTCTCGAGTTCGAAACCCAGTAGGCACATAAGGGTTCGAAACTCAATGGAGTGAGTTTCAGCCCTGATTACTCCACACCCCCCAGACCCCCCTGGAGTAATATATCAGTATATAGACTTGGCTCCCTCATACCTTCTATCCAATCCCTCCATCCAAACTGACCCATAGAGCCTGTTTAAATGGAGGGTTTGGAAGAGAAGGTATTGGAAGGCTTAAGGCCTTAGTCTATATCTTGATAAATTGCATGTTTCTTAAAACTAAAAAAGGGTGATTTCAATGATATACAATAATTACATGTAAATCTTTCAAATTTTCTAAAATTCAAATTTATAAAATATAGACTAAGCCCTCCAAAACCTTCCTCTACAAACCTCTGCAACCTCAACAGACTATTAGAGCCACTTTGGGAGGAGGGTTTTGGAATGTAGTCATCCATAGCAAAACCATAATGAGGTACCCATATCTTAATGGGTATTTTATTTTACTTTTAGTTAAACCACGTGAGTTCAATTGTAACATTAATTGTCAAAAGATAACAATTTTATAGGAAGTAAGAAAAGAAAAAGTGCCTCTGAATAGCCAACAGCCCCAGGAGAACGATCAATGTAAGAACTCCACTTTTGATCCTTCAAAACTGGATCTTTGTAACATAATTCATCACATTCACCTAAGCCTGCAATTAATGGAAAATAACCCTTATACTCAAACTAATCTAAAATATAATAAAGTGATCTTCGTATATCAGTCAAAAATGCAGCAAACAAGTGTTAGGTCATTGATGTAAGTAGTACTATCTCCGAAGAAATGTCATGTTTAACGCTAACCAACATATTTGGGTAACGTAGTAAGGTACTGTGGACATCTAAAGTTCTTAAAATTTGTTTCACAGGTACACCTCCTATTTTTTAGTCGTTGGAAAGCAAGCTACAACTGCTATAGTATATCCTACTTATATTTTTAAAATATATTTGCTAGTTTAGAAAAACTAATTATATGTAACATAACATGTAAGTGACAATTTTTCGCAACTAACCCAAACAATAGTTTTCTGTGATCATACGGGACTTCTAGGACAAAAGAAAGTGTTAAACATGAATCGTTTTTAGGGGTGAGCAAATAACCGAAAAGACCGACGTAACCGGTAACCGATGACCGAACCGAACCGAAAATTCGGTTATCGGTCGGTTATCGGTTATTATTTGTAAAAAGTTATCGGTTATTCGGTTATTCGGTTATCGAGCGGTTTTGAATGTTCGGTTCGGTCGGTGACCGATAACCGATATTGCAAGGCTATAATGCTTCAATATAACAAAATAGTCCCGGTATATTAAAATAGGCCCAGACCAATTATAAGTTTATAACCCTGGCCCAAAGCTCTGAAACGGCCTAAGTGCCTAACACCCTAAATCGCTATTCCCTGAACCTCCGTTCTCCATCTCCTTTGAGTAAACTTCAGCGAAGAAGGCGAAGAAGCTAAGCGAAGAAGCTAAGCGAAGAACCCAAAGTAATCTTTGCCTTATAAGAAGACCCAAAGGTAATTTCTCTTCTTCAATTCCTAATCCGAACTGATTTCATCGATTGCTCCCACGGCAGACCTCTCCAGCAAAGTGAAGTAGCAGAGCATCGGTCATATATTACCTCTACCCAATATAATTATCTAACAGCCGTAAATCTCTAATTTATCTTAGTTAAACCCCTCTTTCTTGAACAAACACTTATTCTCTTTTTTCTTCAGTTTAGTGATCTCTCTGAAATGCATTAATTAGTGGTTATAATTAGGTCTAAAAATGTTAAATACTCGTATGATATTACATATACTGTTTTTACTTTTTATTCATCTCAAGAAGGAATGAAGTCATAAATGATAAAGACGTCTTTATCGTTCTTCCCTGTGAAATGTTTGCTGAAAGCAACTGCTGCTTATTTTGCTATGCACAAAGTAGCTTTATTAGTTTAGCCATTATAGATTTACAGAAACCTAAAACTTTATATTCAACATTTTATACTCCACATAAAATTGAATGTATACTGGGGTACTGATATTACTTGTTATAATAATTCTAATCAAAAGTAATACGTAGTATATATTATAAGTGTGGCCTCATGTTGTTCTGTTTTTTTTTGAATTGGCAGTGTGTTAGATTCATTTATTTATTTAGACGTGTTGATTTTGATCTTTTTTACAGATTAAGAAGGAAGATAAATACATTTGATGCAAGCTAGTGGACAAAGCATAGAGACTCTTGTAGTGAACAAAGAATTTTTGACAACTTAACCATTTGAATTTTGGATTTTTTGTTGTGTTTTTGGCTGTACTCTTTGCCTCTTTGGTGGTAATAATGCTGTATTAATGCTTGAAACCCAGTTAACAGTTTCGTTGATTTTTTTATGCATGTATGCATTTTTTAAGTTGATGTTGGATATGGTGATTTTATTCAGTAGAATTGCAGCACAAAGATATCCTCTTTCATATGAAGAAAGAGTACCCTGCCCTCCTGTGAGGAAAAAAAGGAGGAAATCTGAATTTACTCAATGGTTTAATTATTTTCGGTTATTGTTCGGTTATCGGTTATTGACCGAAACCGAACAATCTTTTCTCGGTCGGTTATTTTAATATATCGGTCGGTTTTCGGTCAGTTATTTGCTTAAAATTTTATAATCGGTTATTCGGTTATCGGTCGGTTATTTGACCGACCGACCGAATGCTCACCCCTAATCGTTTTTGTGATGGAGAGAGTTGTTTATAGTTAGGAAGAAAATTAACATCCCAAACAAGCTTAAGAGTTTTCTGTTAGAACAGCTCCATGGATAACTATGTATGTTTTCACTTGTACTGATTCAGTCTCGGAGCATATCGACCTTGAGTCCTTGACCAAACTTAGATAAACTACACCAGACTAGATTAGACAGAAAAACGAGACATGACTTGGATCATAATAAAATACACATAACACTAGACTAGATTAGACCAGTTCAACTCAGACCTGAAAAATTCAAGTCTAAGTGAAAACATCCAAAACTTGGCATAGTTTGTTGCTTATGATAATGGTAAAAGCTCATAAAAGTCAAAGGAATTAAACATTGAATACTATAAAATTGTTAGGTTCATCAGCATGCCACTTGAAGAAGTCTTCCCATGTTTTCAAGAGACGTGAATCTCATCAATATATATTGTTTTATCCTTTATACAATAGAAGGTAATACAAATGAGAAACAAATCTTACATTCCTCCCAACTGTCCCCATCGGAGTCGCACCCTTTCTTGCAGAATACTCTCCCTACAAAGATTATTATTACAATACATAATAAAGCAATTGTGTGCATCAAAAACTAAATTGACTTGTTGCGAGAATCAAGAGACGACAAAGATTTGACATTAGAAAACCATTGACTTGATTTATGTGTCTAATGAACAAAAAGATAATAATCATCAGTAAACCCTTAAATATACATAATAAACTTCATTTATGATTATGCATCCCTTTTCGGTAATAATACTTCAGTAAATGCCAAACCACAATATAAAAGCTTTGTTTACATCAGTAATAATACTTCAGTAAGTGCATTCCGAGTCCCATTGGAAGCCATGGATGAGAATTAATTAACTAAGCAATCAAATATACAACTACAGGAACCATTTCCCGAAACCTAAAGCCAAAATAAGAACTCGAGCTATGAGAAATACTTCAGTGACTATCACTTCTCTCGAAAAGAATTAATTCCCCTTTTGGTCTCACAACTATTAGGAGACGTACCTAGTTTTAATCCCCGACCGTCATGTTCCTACTTTTTACTCCCATGACTAGATTCTTTTGTCACTAGTAATCCTTGCGATCAGTTGTCTGGTCAATTGCTATACAATTTCCATTTGATTTTAAAAAGAAGTGGCCTCAAGGACCTTAAGTTGTGAGACTAAAAGTGGAAAAATGAATGTCAAGGACCAAAGAGTAGGAATGTCTTAATAGAGGTACGACTGAAGTGAAATTAATTCTCTCACCCGCAAAACTTTACCCAAGCCATTGTGATATGTTACCATTATGGATTTATAAACTTTAATACGTATTCCAAACTCTAACTACCGAAAATTTAACAACACTCAATTCAACCAGGCTCTAAACAAACTAAATCACAGTTTTAGCTCTGCGAATAAGCTTGTACTGGTTTCTGCACATAAAACTCTGCAAAACACCAATTCTAGAAGGGAGAAAAATGAACAACACATCCTGACCAGTTGCCCCCTTAAGTGTTTTAAAAACTTGAAACATTCAAGGTCACTGCTGAAGACGATATAAATTTGCAAAACTAAGAACAGATTCAGCAAATGTGTATGCACATAACATCACAAAAATGAACACAGCGACGAGACGCAAAAGAAACACACATAATATTCTGGCATTCTGCATAACATGGAAAAATGTAAAAGTCAGGGCAAGAGTAGGGAGATTACAAGGAATTTGCATGAGACTAGCGTATTTCTGTGTGCATTGATTGTTACACGGCGGTGTCCATTGCAGCGGAATCATTTCTCTTTTCCTTCTAAAAAAACAGATGAAACCTCCCCTCTTCCCGTTTCACCTATTCGGTTCCCTTTATTACCAGAGAATTTTTATTACTAGAAAATGGAAGTTTGGGTCATGAGAGGAGAATATAAGACGAAGAAACCGGGAACAAGTGGGATATGTCTGATCGTGTGAATCGGGTACTACATTACGAAGTTCTCCCTCAGCCCTAAATAAACTTTCTTTTTTCGTCCGTCCCAATTGAAACTTCCACTTTACTTTTTTGGCCAGAATTTGTGGTTCACAGTAATTCTTATACATTTATCTCTCCTCTGCATAACTCTCCACCACACAATACCCACTATCTTAAACTCTGTGCAAAACCTATTTGGAAGATATAATAGGGACAGAGGGAGTACCATGGTATTCCGTATTTTGTTTAATACTCCGTATGCGTTGGGAAAATGCATCTTAGGAAAATTATATAAATAAACTTAATCATATAAAGTTTCCAAATTTAGGATTCCAACTTCCAAGTAGGTGTACGATGTAAGTGTATCTGTTTTGATTATTATACTTTAGTTCGGTTCAAAGGGTTCGGGGTTTTCACCTAAAACCAAATGACGAACTAAATTAAAAAAGTTCGGTTCGATTCGATTTTATGTTCAAAAATTTGGAATCACGGTTTGTTTGGTTCGGTTTATTTTTGTTCGGTTTCGGTTTTTTCGATTTTTACCAAAACATTTTTGTTGATAAGAAAATTAGTATGTGTAAAATAGTGTAATTGTTAATTGCTCGATTTTTACCAAAACTAGATCAAACTATTATTAATAGTTATAAAATACACAAACATACACAATTAAAAAAGAGAGGACAAACAAATGCACTTCAAAGCAATGAATTAGAGAGTATGTGTAATTGTGTATATCAATTAAACATTTTCTAAATTAATTAAACACATGAGTTTAATTATTTGTGAATTATATACACGTATTCACAAGTTAAAAATTTTAGTAAATAAAACTTATCCTACTTTCTTTTAAGACAAAGATATTTATGCTCTACAGCTTCACATTTTCCGCTATGTTGTTTAAAGTATAGTTTATATTAATACATATTTGTTAAATATAAAAAATTATGTGATAATAAACACACATAATATATATAATACTACCTCCGTCCCGGAAACAAGTTCCCGGGTTGACGTTCACACATTTTTAGGAAATAAATTTACTAAGGGATAAGTTTTACTATTTCGACACTGTTTGGCACTGCTTTGCACTGTTTTACACTGTTTTACACTGTTGTGATGTTGATAATTTGTCAAATAAGGAAATGGGAAGTTTATTTTGGGACATCCAAATAAGAAAAGTGGGAACTTGTTTCCGGGACGGAGGGAGTATATCAACAAAATATCATTGTCATGCAACAAGTAAAATGTAAATTACGATTTAAAATATCAACGTATTAGTATCATAGCAATAGATTTAAGTGTATGTACAATGTTTCATTTAATTAAATCATATGTTTTAAATGTCAATATCTTACAAATCATAATAAATCTAGTACAACCATTAATTTTCTAGAATTAAGATGTAATAACTAAACAAAATATTATATTTAATGATTACTAAATAAAATAACATGTTTTAAAATGTTCGGTTTATTCGGTTCGGTTCGGGTTTGAGACGTGAAAACCAAAAATGGAACCAAACAACTACGGTTCGGTTCGATTTTTTGATTTTAGTTTCTGTTTTCTTGCGGTTCGGTTGTTTTGGTTGCGGTTCGAGTTTTTTCGATTCGGTTTTCGGTTTTCAGTTTCTCCGACCCACCCCTAATTATACTCTTATATTAAAATGAGATCGAGCAACCCTATCACATGAAAAACCAATCCACTCATTAAAATTTTACAAACGGTCAAACTAGCTTCTTCAGAACTTCCAAATCGCAGATTAAACGGAAAAATTGCAGACCTAAATTCTTCTTCAGAGCTTCCAAATCGCAATAAAATAGGACGACGAAAAGGCAAGTCGATCAACTACGAAGAAAGCAGACTCGGAAAAGATCATAGGATACGAATGTTGAGAACACGGAAAAGGAAGTAGAACACTCGGATAGAGATTTTGAAGCAAAAGGCCCAATAAAAAGGAGATCGAAAGGGGAATTGTGCTTCAACAGCGAGATAATCTATTTAATGGATTTATTAGAGCAAAGTAAATATAATAAAATCAATTCAATCGTTCTCGTATATATTATCTACAAATGAAGAGCAATATAATAATGAAATAAATTTGAATCAAAGAATGGATCAGAAATTTATAGGAACAATGTTGATGTTAGATATGATTACTCACTTACTCAATATGACTTGCTCTAGTCAGAAATGCTAGGGGTACACAAGTTGTGCACAAAATATCGATCACAGACAATTGGTACGGAATTGTCTGCGGGCACAGACAAGAGTTGTCTATGTACACGGACAACTTTTGTCTGTGTCCACAGACATTTACTTTTTTGTAACAGTATACTGACAGTCGTCTGACACTGACACCAGATTGCAAATCAATCAATATATATGCAGTGCGTGTGTACAGACAATATTTTCATGTTGCACAGACAATTATTCGCCTGTGTGCACAGACAATATTTATCACACAGACAATAGTTGTGTGTCTCACAGACAATATTTGTTTGTGTGATCAACTTTAGTTGTCAGTGTGATCAATTTCAATTGTCTGGGTGAACGAAAAATTTAATTGTCTATATATATATATATATATATATATATATATATATATAGATATATATATATATATATGCTAGGGGTACACAAGTTAATATATATATATATATATATATATAGATATATATATAGATAGAAAAATTTAATTGTCTATATATATATATATATATATATATATATATATATATATATATATATATATATATATATATATATATATATATATATATATATATATATATATATATATATAGATTTAGGATCAAATGAGAACAACCCTTAACGTGAGAACGTGAGAACACCACATTTACCCAAATGTGATGCACAATGAGGCTCGCCCAATGCACATTTTCGCGTTCGGCACAGTATTTACTAAAATGCCACCGTCATTATTTATATAGGCTTATTTTGAGCTAAACCCAAATGTGCACCTGACGGGCTCAATTGTGTATCACGCTGGGTTAATTGTGAGTGTTCTCACGTTCTCACGTTAAGCATCGTTCTCACTGGAACCGCACCCTATATATATATATATATATATATATATATATATATATATATATATATATATATATATATATATATATCCAAATGAATGATGTAGTTGTATGCGTGATTAATTTACGAGGTATTTACTTAAAGAGGAGTAAATTCATCTTTAATTGTCAAAATAGGACTAAAGCCTAAAAAATCCCCAAATAGGGGTTAATATATGTAATGGGACAAAAACACCCCTAAAACATGGAAGTCATACTACTGATGACCAGAACACAGGACAACCACCCTTCGCCGGTCGTCGCCAGTCGTCGCCGAAGCACCACAAAAACTGGCCGTCGTAGATGCAGATCTGGCGGTTGTCGCCGGAGATCTGGCCAGATCTAGCCTCTGCCAGTCGTAGGCCGCTGCTCCTGCAAACCCAGCCATCCTTGCAGCTAATCCTACATCTGTCGTTGCAACCCTGACCTACTCAGTTGCAGATGTGATTGTTACCTACGAGAATGCCAAAATTTTTATCTGAATGCCATTTTATTGGTATTTTAAAAGGAAAATACAACATTTTTGAAGACTAAGAATGCCATTTTGGTGGCATTTTCAAATTTTAACATGACATTTTCTAACAATCAAAGATGAAACAGAGCATGGGGAGATCACTACAGAAGAAGAGGAAAAAGGACGGGGAGACCAACCAGAGAAGAGAAACTGAACTATCGAGAAGAAACTCGATCTCCGGCAGCGGCAGCGGACTTCGTGGCGGCAGGTGTTACTATGGCTTCTAGGTTGGTTGCTCTGTGTGAAGGGGAAGGAGGGGATGATGGGCAGATGATGGAATGATGCGCAGGGGATGGGATGATGCACATGAAGATGAATGTGCGATGTTGGGCGTATGGCGCAGGGGAATTAAGGAGGAAAAAAGGGTAAATGGGTAATTTGGTCCTATTTGGGGAATAAAAATATACATAGTCCCATTTAGGAATTTCAAGAACAATTTAGTCCTATTTAAGGCAATAAGTCTTAATTTACATATAATTTGAAAAAAATTAAAAAATAATAAAAGTAGATGAAATTAGATGAATAAGTTGATTTTGTACAAATAATGAAAAATAAAATTGATATAAAAAGGTAGAGAAAAAGAGGATTAAGAAGGGAAGGGGAAGATGAAGAAGAAACGATGATCTTTTTTTTGAGATATTCGAATGGGTTGGATAAAGGGTCTGTTTGTAAATGCTTGTGATTTTTTAACAGATTATTGAAAAAGTGATTAGTAGTAAAAGTATGTAGCGTTTGGAAGTAGAAGTGATTTTAATTAAAATGTAAAAGTTGGAGTGTTTGGTAAAAAAGTGATTTTTGATGTAGTTTTTTTGTAAAGTTCTAAACTACCCCTCCCCTTTAATAACTAAACGTAAATGTTGAGTCCCGTTTCTCATCTTTCACACACAGCGGCCATTTCTCATCTTTCACGCGCACACCTCGAATCCACAAGTCCAAGAGCTAGGGAGTGTTGGAAAAATGTGTTAAAATTGCATTAAATGGTAATTTTGGGACAATTTTTTGAGTGAGTTCCACTTCCGATTTGGGTCGGGTCAAAGTGGTTTCGGATTGTAGATGAATTTGGAACAATGTCCAGGGCAAAATCCATATTGAGACCTTGGGTCTCACCTTCTGACAAAGACAGCAAGGACTTTGTGGGCCTCCAGGTATGTTCGGCCATGCATCTGCTCTATTCCTTCTTTATTTAGTTTCTCTTTCTTATTTCATTTTATTGTTTTACAATTGCATTGGAGATGAATTTGAATAGACCTTGCTTTTCTCTAAACTAGATTTTTCACCCATGCTTCGCACGGGATGCAGTTAGCAAGTCATAAAAAATTTGAGAATTTAAAAAAATATTGTGATAAATATAGATCAACAGATATATTATTTCTAACAAAAGTAAATGGAGATAAAAAAA